GTGTATGAGCAATTTTCTTCCTTTTTCTTCCAATGAATGGCAAAGTAAGTTTTTGATTTCTAGGAAAATATATTTAGTTTTATGAGAATATGGTTTTTCTTTGTGTATAAGAAACAGTTATTATACCATTCATTCAACCACGTGGCATGGGGCATCCTTCACACAAAACTTAAAATAATTGTTTGCTATCGACAGGAAAATAAGTTTACTTTGAACTTTTATAATCATTGTCTTCTCTCCCTGGCATGAAAAGTACTTTCGCTTTGTATATTCATGTGCTGTCACTGTGACCTGAGAATGTTTCAAATTATAAAAATCCTCATATAGCATTTAAAAGTACTAACACCGGAATGGTTGAAATTTGGAGAACTTCTGATTGAAAAAAACTTACTAGAGGATATAATTCTTCTATTGGAGGTCTATTCTACGCAGAATCATTTTTCTTAATTATTTCTGGTATTTTGCTTATCATACACTGACCTTCGAAGCTATTTATTTAAAACTCTTCTCGGAAATCTCAGTCTAAGAGTGAATTGTCAAAAATAATTAAGAAAAATGGAGGTATATTCCCCTGATATAGAAATATATCTTTTCTAAAATGTTGCTGCTTTTAACTGAATTTAAAGTCATCTCAAGAATTATGACGCTATTAACTGAATGATTCCCGCAAAAGTAAAAACATCCAGAGATTTAGACTAGATAGTAATAAAGAGAAAAATGTTCTTCTCATGCAGGTATTATCTTGAATTTCTCATAGTTCATGGGAGATCATTACCATACTCACCTCACTACGATTTACAAACATTCATAAGAATTAGAGCAGTTTTTCAAGACATTTCCCTAACATATCACCTACACTTATTTCTTACCAAAACCAAAAAGAGAACAAAAGAAAATTTCCCAAACCAAATCTGAATGCTCCTTGGTTCCTTTGACAGAAGTTAATACAGTATGTCTAACAAAGCTTGGTCTTTAGACAATGGACACCACTTACCGTCTTCCAGTTATAACTGGCAGGACATCACTGGATTTGGCTTCGATTATTTTAAATGCTACTTTCTTTAAATCAGAAATGCCAACAGCCATGTCCTCTAGCATTCCAATTTCATCACCTAAACAATGGAAAAAGTGCCCAGTTACTATTTGAAGAAAATGTCACTAGCTATACTACACTTCCCTGCTGGAATTTGTTCTAGCATTTGAGTGAATGAGTTTTTGAATGAAGTGAATCCATTCTAAATGCTTTTCCTAGGAGGCCGAAGGTTTTCATCAGTGAAATAAGAACCATTTCAATGTCAATGTACCCTTTGAGGGAAGGAAGAATATACACATTTGCTGGGAGGCTGGAGAATGGTTTTAACTCCTTTATGAAACAAAGTATTGTGCAGATTTCTTTCCATTGGAAGGATTGATATTTAAATTCTAGAAATAATAGAGATGGCCGAATTGATGATCACTGATGCAGGTTCATGTGAGTTCTGTATCTGCATACACTGACAACTAAAGCCTGAGAAGGAGATAATTAAGATTTTAGAGCGGCACTTTCCAATAGAAACATAAGGTGAGTCACATACATAATTTTAAATTTCCTGGTAGTCATATTTTTAAAAGCATAAACTAAAAAAGGTGAAATTAATTTTAACAATATCTTTTATTTAACCCAATATATCCAAATGCCATTTCAAGTGTAAATCAATATAAAAATATTAGTTATCAATGTAATTTTTTACTAGTCTTTGAAATTTGGTGCAAATGTCTAGTACATATTGATTTGGACTAGACACATTTCAAGTACTCAATAGTCACATGAGCCTACTGTATCGAGCAGTGCAGTTCTAGATATTAGAGGGCTGAGACTTTAAAATCTAGTCACTGAAACTATGTTGGCAAAGAGCCTTTTATATCAAAAAAGCCAGATGGCTGTTCAGGAGTCTACTCTGAAATAATCCATAATTCCACTTTCAAAGCATAATGGAAGGCAAAAAGAAGTTACAAGGTGAATGAATGCAAAACAGTCAAAGTTACATTATTTTTGTAATACTTGATGAAACCAAGGCTTACTTCTCATTTTTATGTTTACCTGAAAAATGTACAGGTTAAGTATCCTTACAAATAGGAACATGATTTTTACATGTACTGAAGCAATACTCACTGTATGTACTTAGCAGTCCTTCATATTGCACGATCAGCCCCACAGTGTGAAGCTGCTGTAGGAAGCCGGGGTCATGCAAACTTGTCTGTAATTTGATGATAAAACCACAAACCAATCCAGCAAGCTTAAAAAAAAACAGCATTGAAGAAATTT